CGCAAGGAGCTGCTTTGTCACGCTGAGGTGCGTGGAAGCAGAACGGGTCCGATTCTGCGCTCCCCTGGGAAGGTGCTGGTTCCTTGGGGCCGTTTTCAGGCCCACAAAGGGGTGCTGACGCGTCCCGGGACTGTGCAGCCCGACTGCTCGCTCGGTTACAGCTGAACGGCAGCAAAGCCGAGCTGGCGGGCATGGGGGGGCGGCGGCAAGCAGGACAAACAAACAAAAAAAAAAAACAAGCCAGGGACAGGCTCGAGTTTACGCTTTAAGTGCATTCCCCTGAAGCAGTTGCCGTACTAGGACCAGAAGTGCAGGGAAGGGATGGCAAATGTCTTGCTCCTAGTAGATAAATCTCCCTGAAATTATCGATGGAAACCCTTCCCCTTGTATTTGAAAAGCTGCGCTTTCCGTACTCTCCTTCAAGGAAGCGAAAGAAAACGGGCAAACCACAAGACCTTGAGGCATGAAAGGCTGTTATGGCTCACTTTTGCCAGAAACCCACAATCCTGCCTTTATTTTCCTGGGCAGAGAGCTGGGATTCAGTATCACCCCAACGTGGGATGCTCGCCAGAGCATCACCTTTGAAAAACTAAGCCTTAATGCTGAGACTTGCTCTTACTTCCCCCTAGGTCAATGTTGGGTGCGTACCAAAAAAGGTAAGCAGGCTTTCGCCACCGGCTCCAGCAGCGCCTTGGCTGTGGGTTGGGTCTGGTGTGGGTGTCTGTCGAATTGTGGGGAGGTGCTGGTGCGGGGTGTGGGGAGGAAGCAGGGGCTCGGAGCGTATTGAGCCATCGGGATGCCATGAAGCGCTCAGACCCATGTCCCGTGGGCTGCTCTGGGCAGAGGTAAGGCATCGGGAAGTGTGGCAGGGGTTTTCCCAAAATCAAACTGGTCTTCCCGAGCCAATTTGTGGTTTGTGTGGGCAGGTGATGTGGAATGCGGCAGTCCACGCAGAGTTCATTCATGATCATGCCGACTACGGCTTCGAGACGCCCAGCGTCAAGTTCAGCTGGAGGTAAATATGGAAAGAGCCGGTTGGAAGCGAGCATCTCCTGATGCGTGTCCCATGGGGAGCAGCCGCAGGCCCTGTGGTTCATTCTCCACCCCGGAGGGTCCCTGCCCTCTTTGAGGCTTCCTATGGATGGATGCTGAGCTGCTTACGTGTCCGGGATTCCCACTGTATTTTGGAAAGAAGGGGTGGCAAACCGGCTGTGGGAAGAGACTCCAAAAAAGAAGGATGCAGGGAAGGCAGGCACAAAAATCTCGTGTCAGTGGGGAAGGCTACTGCCTGCTGGGTAACTCGGGGCCATTTTATTTTGTGGTGTGGGTGTCACGTACCAAAGGGATTGAATTGTTTTTTGCTGAGCTCTGTGGGTTCATTCGTTCACGGTGACAATAAGCCCCTGCTCTGTTCCAGAACGATTAAAGAGAAGCGTGATGCTTATGTGAGGCGCCTGAACGAGATCTATGAGAATAACCTAAAGAAGGTGAGGATGTGTTTATCCTGCGAGCCGAGCAGGGAAGCAGTCTCTGCTGGATTTTTGGCCACTTTTCCAGCTTTAATGGGTGTCCTCTTTTCTAACTGTGGAAGTCCTGGCTCCATTAGCTGGCTCTCACACCTCCTCCTGCTGTTAATGACATAACTGTTACTCCCCTAAGGCTCACATCGACATCATTCGGGGCTATGGCAAGTTCACCGCTGATCCTGAGCCTACCATCGAAGTGGATGGGAAAAAGTACACAGCTCCTCACATCCTTATAGCCACGGGTGGGCGGCCGTCTGTCCCTCCCGACAGCGAAATTCCCGGTGAGCCTGATGAAAGTCCCCAGGCTGCCTGGAGAGAGGTCTTCCAAAGCAAAGCGGGTTTTGGGAGGTGGGGGTGGGAAGTGGGGCTGGTGAGGGGTACGAAAGGGGCTCTACTTTGCAGGTGCCAGCCTGGGGATGACCAGTGATGGCTTCTTTGACCTGGAGGAGCTGCCCAGGTAAAGCAAGGCTCACCCCCCCAGCCCCCACCACCACCAGCTCGGCGTGTCTGTACATGGCTTCGTCGCTTCTCCGCAGGCGCAGCGTTATTGTTGGTGCCGGCTACATTGCAGTGGAAATCGCGGGGATCCTTTCCACGCTGGGCTCCAAGTCATCCCTGCTGATCCGCCATGACAAGGTAGTGTCACTGGCTTTCCCCAGCCGTGCTTCCCGCTTGACAGACACATTCCACCGGGATTTTCTGGTTGTTGGCTCCCATGAGCTTGTAAAGGAGGGTCCGAGTTGGCGCAGGCTCAAGAGGATGGAAATGGTGATACAGAGGATGGTGGCATTAGGCTGATAGGTTTAAGGAAGGACTGGGGAGACAGACAGGGCGAGAAGAAGAGCGTAGATGTGCTGCCAGGCGCGTTTTTGCAGCACCAACCCACATGCCCGGCATTTCTGCAGCCGTGCGTGCCACTGCACCCATTTCCTTGAACTTTATTTCAAGTCATGACTTGAAAAAAAAAAGGAAAAACCAGCAGAGGAGAACTTTATCATTAACCAGAAGTGCCCCAGGCCTCTCTGGACCCAGATGGGGCACAAGCACAGGGAGATGCTGGTGGAGGGGGCTGCCAGGTGGTGCCTTTGCCTGCAGACCCTCATCTGACAGGGCTGGTGGGTCCCTGCCCAGGTCCTGAGGACCTTCGACTCCATGATCAGCTCAAACTGCACCCAGGAGCTGGAGAACACCGGTGTGGACGTCTGGAAGCACACGCGGGTACGGACGCTCAGGGCAACCCCATGGCTTGTCCCATCCCTCCTGGAGAGGCAGGAGTGGGGGAAAGCCATCGTTTTGGGTACCGCTTGCCAGGTCATGGCTTTGGCTGCATCGCTGGTTCTGTGGTGTGGCTGCCATTGCCTGTTGCAAGGCCAAAGCCATCAGCACCTTCTCCTCTGCCACTCCTGTTGTTGCCCGCAGGTCAAGACAGTCACCAAGTCCCCTCAGGGGCTGCTGGATGTGGCAGTGCCCTCCTCAGTGCCCGGCCGCAAGCCGACGGAGGGAGTGATCCAGGATGTGGACTGCCTGCTGTGGGCCGTGGGGCGGGACCCCAACACGGAGGAGCTGTGCCTGGACCAAGTGGTGAGGTGGCAGCATGTCTCTTCCGCACTGCTGTGAGGATGCCTGCAGGTCTCTGGGGGGTCCCATGGGTCTCTGGAACCTGCTGCAGGATGGTGGTCCTGCCATGACCCCCCACCAGCTAGGAACATGGCGGCCACCAGCACGGGTCCCCCATGGGCATTGCTTGTCGCATCCCTCCTGGGGCACATGTCGAGGCAGCTGCTGTTTCCCGCGGCAGGGTGTGCAGATGGATGCCAAGGGGCACGTAGTGGTGGACGAGTACCAGAACACCACCAGGAGAGGGGTCTATGCCGTTGGGGACGTCTGTGGGAGAGCCCTCCTCACCCCAGGTACCACGACCGTGCCCCTCTCCGCAGCCCCTCAGTGCCACGCTGTGCCACAGTGCCACTCAGGCTCCCTATCCCTCCCCGCAGTGGCCATCGCGGCCGGCAGAAAGCTGGCCCACAGGCTCTTCGAGGGCAAGCAGGACTCTCGGCTGGACTACCATGACATCCCCACCGTCGTCTTCAGCCACCCACCTGTTGGCACCGTGGGCCTCACCGAAGGTGGGGATGGACAGGGCGCTGGGGAGTGAAGAGGTTGGGGACATTATGGCTCAGAGCTGCTGGTTTGATGCTTGAGGAAATGATCTGATCTCTGGCAAGCGGTCTGAGCCTTGCAAAACGTGCTTTGACTCCCTCTTTATAAATGCCTTGTGTATATGGTGCATCCCCTTGATCTTCGTGCCGTGTCTTCTGCTGCAGATGAAGCCGTGGCCACGCATGGGAGGGAGAACGTGAAGATCTACAGCACATCCTTCACCCCCTTGTACCACGCCATCACCCAGAGGAAGGTTAAGTGCGTCATGAAGCTGGTTTGTGCTGGCAAGGAGGAGAAGGTACGTGGAGAGGACCAGGGGACAGGTGGATGCTGCAGGTGGGTGGCGGGGACCACAGCTGGCTGTCCTCTTGTCCCTGCATGGGCAGCTCTGACCTGCTCAGAGTGGGTCTTGGGCTGGAGTCCAGCTCCCCTGGCACCAAGCCCAATGTTCAGCCTGGATTTCACCAGTGCTGGGTCCCATCCGGCCTCTGGCTTCTTCCCCAAAGGTGGTGGGATTGCACATGCAAGGGCTGGGCTGTGACGAAATGCTGCAGGGCTTTGCCGTGGCCATCAAAATGGGGGCCACCAAGGCTGATCTGGACAACACCGTCGCCATTCACCCCACTTCTGCTGAAGAGCTGGTGACGCTGCGGTGAGGTGGTGGGCGCAGGCAGCCCCAGGGACTGCAGCTGCAGCTGGGGAAAATGTTTTATATGTCTTAAAAAAATGCCTTAACGTCAGGTGGTTGGCTGGAGAGTGTGTCTGTAAAATCAGCGTGGCTTGCTTTGGAGTGGAAAATAAATACAGTGATGCTGGCAAGTCTCTGCCTTTCGCTTTATGGTGCCTCACTCCCACCGTGCCCAACCATGGCACGGTCCCTCAGCGCGGTTTGGGGGAAGGCTGCTGGTAGCTGGGCTCCTCCGGTACCGTCCCCGACCCCAGGGCTGTGTGGGGAGCAGCAGAGTGGGGCAGGACAGCTGGGTGCTTGGGGTACTCGTGGGTGCTGGAGTGGCCTGGATGGGCTCTGTCCTCTGCCGGGGGCTCATGGAGGGGTGCATCCGCGTTGCTGTGGGACGTGGATGCATCAGCATCACTGTTGGATGTGGGATCACAGGGGAGCTGCTGGCCTGACCCTGCATCCCAGGGCCTTCCAGATCCCCTCTGCTGCCCCGTTGCTGTCTGCTCTTCGTGGCTGCGGCTCTCGAACTCTCAAAGTTTGAGGCAGCTTGAAGCAGCCGAGGGCAAAGCTGGCCAGGAGAGGTGGGGCACAGTGCTGATGCTGGTGGAGGAACTGCTGGTTTCCGCTTGGCTTTTGCTAGAAATCAATAGTTTGCATGAAGTCAAAGTATCTCTGAGGTCAAAAACTCCCTGAAACATAAGGAAGGGGACGCAGGTGCTCGGCCCAGCTGTGCAGCTCCCGGCTTTGCTGGGATGGCTCCATCCCAGCCGGCAAAGCCACAGCAGGCTGGAAAATCCTGGCCAGCCCTCCTAACCCAATCAGCACATATTTAAAGAGTATGTTGGGCTCCTAGGGGCTTGAGTACGAGCAAAAGCCCAAATATTACTCATATCCTCAGTTATCTATGTAAGTCTTTGGAAGAATAATGATTTGCAAGGCTTACTGCTAACTGGAGCACCCAAGATTTCCTTTGGGCTTGTTACAGACGATCCTCGAGCACATTAGAGGAGTTAATTGGAGTTAATTCATAGTTAATTGCTTCATTTGAATCATGCTGACTTTACCCTCTCAGTCAATATGCTGTAATGGCATTTTGTCAGGGTTTGTTTTTTTTTTTTTGATGACAAGTTTGGTCGCTTGATTTTAAGGCGTGTTTTAGAGTGTCTGCGGGCTATGTCCTGTACTTCATAGCCAGAGAAATTATCGAAGTGTCTGAAAAAAAAACCAAAAGGCAGGCAGGGACTCACAGGCACAGGTGGGGATCGAGTGTCCGCAGAAGCCTCCTTTTAGGAGGAAATTGGGGGAAAAAAAAAAAGCAGAGGGAAGCTGAGCCCCGGGTGTCCCGGTGAGAGCACGAACCCTTGGGTCCCCGGCGGCGGGGACC